TTGATGTCGATCTAGGATGTGATCTAATCTCGTTTAATTTCCTAGATACAACTACCGCAAGTGTACGGGTCAATCGTAGTATTCTAGGGTCGATCACAGGGACACAGATGGATTCAACGATATCAATTACGGGTTCTACTCGGTTTTTGGTCGGGGTAATAAATTGGTTGGTGGTGATGGTGATTAAACTTAAATACAAATCAAAGCAAATATAAACAGTGATTTTTAACACAATTTAATTAAGACATTGTAGGTGTCCGAGCGCTGCGTCGATCAACGTCCACGGGAAAGCGATCAGGCGGATTGCATCTTCGGTTACCTGATCGGCTCTCTTGATGGACCTGCACATCATCTTGAACCTCGTGAGGTGTGCGTTGGGATCTTCATTTGGCCTACCCCGGAAGGCCATGGCGCTCAACATTTGGATAGTGGCGGGAGTGAGCTCGAATCTTGTCATGTCAACCTCTGGCATTCGTATGCCAGACATGAGCTCAGTGTGTTTCGGGGCATTGTACTGCGCAAAGGTTTCTTCATTTATATGCACATCTCCGGGTATGGGTACAACGCCGTGTTCTGCCATCTTTTCTCGGTGTTGTTTTCGGTTTTGTTTAGCGGTTTTCTCGATTTCAGGATCGAAAGGAACTAGGTTTTCTGACCCAGCACTCCTTGTCATACACCGGAGAAATCCTGCGTACAAAAACGAATAGAACAACGACAAGAAAAGGTGAAGATCAAATGGAACGAAAGAGAAAAAAAAATGACCTAAACCGAACAGTTTCCTAATCGTATCGCTAAAGCCGTTTTGCGTCCCCGGCAACGGCGCCAAAAACTTGATGTCGATCTAGGATGTGATCTAATCTCGTTTAATTTCCTAGATACAACTACCGCAAGTGTACGGGTCAATCGTAGTATTCTAGGGTCGATCACAGGGACACAGATGGATTCAACGATATCAATTACGGGTTCTACTCGGTTTTTGGTCGGGGTAATAAATTGGTTGGTGGTGACGGTGATTAAACTTAAATACAAATCAAAGCAAATATAAACAGTGATTTTTAACACAATTTAATTAAGACATTGTAGGTGTCGGGATTTTACGGGTTATGTAAGGATCGCTTCTAAAAATATATTTCGGTAACTATGATCATAATTTAGGAAATTCAAGTGCGCATTTGCAAATGATTATTCTCTCGAATATCACCTTATATTCTAGGAATTTCTTCTACCGACCTCTCGGTTCTTAATAGATTAAAATTCCTAAAAATCATTAAGTTCGCTATCACAATTTCCAGGCAATACAACCATCTCTCGATACGAAAATTACCCATTCGAATAAATGATTTCCGAATTCGAATTCCATATCTCTATGTGAATTTAAATTCTAATATCAACAATTCAATTGGCCAAAAAGAATTGCAGCATTAAAATCCATTTATTCGATCCAAATTATAAAATCGTAGTTTACCAAAATTAATTAAACACGTACGATCCTTACAAACCGTTCAATCCCTAACCTACAATGATAAAAATTACTCACGCAACATGATGATCATAATAGCAGAGTGTAGACAGAAATTCATCGTTAAATAGAAGAAAAATAAATACAGAAATAGAAATGAAAACAGAGTAAGGGAAAGAAATAGCCAGTAATTGCAGATGAAACTCTCTGACAGAAAACTCCTCCGATGAATACTCTACAAACTCCTGTAATTCTCTCCGTGTCTCTCAGCTCCGCCCCCCTCTCTGCGTATTATCCTTCTTTATTTAAAGACGGACGAAGAGGTGGTTGTCGCATCCATTGTCGTCTGCCGCAAATCAAGCGAGTAATGTCGGACGACAAGATCATTACTTTACTTTTCGCTATCAAACAAGCACGTATATCGAGCGCACTATCATATATATATACTATCTATAGATATATGTATTACGTTTACATATATATATACGCACATATATCAATATATATATCATACATGCATATACGTATTCTATATATACATATAATTATAATTCTATACTCTGCAAATATATACATATGTATTTTCATATATATACAAAGTGAGTTGTACTTGACTTTTTCTCAAGTGAATAGAACTGGTTAGTTTTTTCCTTTACTCTTTGAGGGTCCGGTTTTTTCATCCAAAACAAAACCCGACTTCTCTCAATTTCAACTATCTGTGAAAAATTAAAATTGACGCACAATGCCTCCTGTTTTCTGAGATGCATGTTTTCCTCAAATTTACTCGATTAATAAACCTAGCTACTTTCCTCTTTGCTTCAACAACTCGAGCCTTGGACTCAAGATACAGTGATGAACCAATGGTATAAGCACACAGAGGACGGCAAAGAGTCCACTATCATCATATATGATATATGCGATGAGAATCCAAGCACATGTGGTGAATCATAAATGGACAACACTCATTAGACGAAACAGCAGCTAGCAACCTTTCTCACATTGCTTGCTTGTGTATCTGTTCACTGAGAGACTTGACGGGCAACCATCAATCGTCTCACGCTGGCTCAGATTCTTGTCAGTTGAGGCAACCTCAAGAAGGCTGTCAGTCTGTTTCTTACCTTTGGTCTTTTGTTGATCCTCACTTTCTGCATCTTCATTGGAAGAGTGTTTTTCCAGGGAGTTGAGTCCCATGGTGCTTAAAGTGATCCCTTTTTTCATTTCTAGAAGCAAAATATTAACGTTATCAGAAGCTTCCAGATGATCATTTCTATCAGTAGCATCGCTTGTCCCCTGCAGTTCCACTAAAGCCATTAAAGCCATAAACTCGTTGTTGTCAACTCTTCCCTCTTGGTTGTTGTTAGAAAGGTCAAAGCACTTTTCTATCTGTGTAATATGCTCATTGTCATTGTCTACAGTGGCATCTGCCGCATCCAGCTTGGACTCAGTTTTTGCACATAAATTTTCGTCAACCAGAGAGGTACCTCGTTTCACTTCATCATTTTCTTCTAAGCTGTCTGGTACTGTAACATTGCATCTATTTGATTTACAGCATGAAGAGTCATTCTCCTTTCCCAATATTGGCCGCTGTTGCTCCAGTGTAACTTGGCCACTGTTGTTGCCATCGATTCTCATTGTTTCTTGTCTGTTACTGGGAAATATGCCAGTACACGTCTCACAGGAAGCCCCTCTCAGCTGATCAGACATAAAAAAAAAAAGTAAAAAAAATGACCTTCAAGGGAGAATTCCTTTTGTCCTCCAAGTAAACTTCAAGTAATAAAACATGCCTATACCAGTTCCAAAGCGCATTTCGGCAGGGAAATCCTTTTGTTTTCAATGAAAGGTAGAAGATTCCACTTTGATAGTTCTGGTGCCCCTGACTTCAGATCTGACAAGGGTGTCTGGGGAAGAACAGTTTCTAGCAATCTTAATAGACAGAAGAAAATGCATAAGGCCAATATTGTCAAAACACTGACTTAAAATGCAGGAAAACTTTTACCTCATCCAAGATACACTGGAGAACATATTCACAGCTCTCAGACAAATTGAACTCAATCTTTGACTCGACACCAGAGGCAACATTGCTATCCTGTGCAGTAGTAGGATCAAACAAATAAGCCAAGCATCTGAAAGCCACCATCTCCTTCGTATGTTCACCCATGTAATCAGGAACATTAGGACTCATTTCAAAGACATCTGCAAGAAACCCAAAAACAGAAACGGAGAAATCTCTGAAGCCTGAAATTTAAATCCGGAAGCTCATTTGAAGGGGTAGAAGAAAGCAACAACCTAACTGGTCTAAAATATTATTACCGTGCAACATCCATAGCTCTTTTTTGAATTTTGCCAAGTACTCAATCATCCAAACCCAGATATCAATATCTAAATCCCCAGTCACAACACGATCGGTCAACCTATCCAAGTAAGGTAATCTTCCAGGATCATCGGAAGATGCATCATCATGTTCTCTGACCTCTGTGCTGAAAGTAGAAGTATCGCCAACTGAAAGATCGATTGTGTAATTGCTGTGTGTAGGCATGTCGCCGGAAGGAGTCTCCATCACTGAAATATAGCCGGCAGTTACTTCGCCGATCAAACGCCTACTCAACAGGTAACGTGATTAAACATTCAACACATAAACAGATTGACATATACTGGAAAAAGAAACCTGATCACGAAAAAATCACATTATGCAATTTAAACAACGAGTAAAACCCTAGCCACTGAAGAAGGTTATCAGTCATCAAGCAAACGTGAAAAATGAAAAAACGGCTATAATATGATCAACGTGGAAAAAAAATGGAGACCTATACCTAGATTCAGTATCTCCTTCCGAAAATGCTCACACTCTTATCAGTCTATTTGCCAAACGGTGAGGAAATTTTCACACATTGAACACGGCGAAACTGACGCAGAATATCGTCATTCAAGTGAGACGAGCAGTTTCCAATAAGGTAGAACATTTTCCCGAGAACCAAACAGAAAAATGAAAATTCTGTAGAATCTAATACCTCGGTGAAGCAGCAAAGTTTCAAAAGTTTATCTGAAGTTGAAGTGAAACCGCCAACTTGGAGCAAAATCGCCCAGTGTACACAGGAAGAAGCTTCCTGAGGAAGAATCCCGTCAAGCCCAAATTACAAGAGGCTTCTTTTGGGCCATCAGAAAGATTAAATGTGCTTAATATACATAGCCCATATGGCCAACCCAAAACCCTAACTCTAAGATTCATAATTGGTAAAATAAACATATAAATATCTAAATTTTTACAAAATTCTCATATAAATATCTAAATTATAAAATTTCTATATAAATATTTAAACTTTTCTAAAATCTTTCATAAATACCTAGACTTCTGAAAAACACCCAAATAAACCCAAATTTCGTTAATGACATCACCTATTTTTATTTGAAACATACCTAAAATTTGTATTTATTTGGAAAAATTTTCAAAAGTCTAGGTATTTATATAGGATTTTTAAAAGTTTCAGGTATTATATGAAAATTTTATAGTTCAGGTATTTATGTGGATTTTTCATAAAAGTTTAGGTATTTATATGTTATTTTCCCTTCATGATTTGCTAGTTTTATATTTTAGTCTAATCATTTAAATAATAACGAAATCAATATAATACTACATAGGTAATTAATAAATATCATAAAAAATACAAATAATAATAAGACTAATAAATATGATAACTTATTATTATTATTATTATTATTATTATTATTATTATTATTATTATTATTATTATTATTATTATTATTATTATTATTATTATTATTATTATTATTATTATTATTAAGTATTTTGGCATCTCGTGATTTAATCTTGACCAGTAGTGCAAAGCATCTTCTTTGGAGCCCAAAAAAGCATATCGCGGTCTATAAAGATTAGTATCTGGTTTAATTAATCGGATGTTCGTACGATTTATGTGTTTTTCTCACGCAAGATTGAGGAATATTAAAATTCCAATTAAGAAATTGACTTCACTTTAAACAAAATAGAAAACGATTTTATTGTACACTTATGCATATAGTTGGACCACTAAATTAATATTATTTCTGATATTAACCTTAATTAATTAACCTATCGCATTAGGTTGGAATATTAATATTTAATCAAGATTCTGCCTATCAGCCTAGAATTTTCTTTATTTAAAAAATATAATTTAAATGTTAAGAGAGAGTGGGGAGATCTGATTCGAAAATGATATTAAAATCAAAATTTATTTTCCTACTAATAACATTTTGTTTTTTCCAACCTAAAAGTTAATAACAAACAATAACGTATTTATGTCACTTCCAAGAGGTCTCTGCAGGTACAATTTTTCATATAAGGCGGGGAAGAGGGCCATAATTAATTACATGATTAAAATTTGATTACGGATCCATGAGATTAATTGTATCAAATGTTCAGTGAACCTTTTAATTATAAAAAAAAAATACGAATGCATGTTTTATCCCACGTTATGCTATCGATTGATCGTTATGGTTTAATTAAGTCTTTTTCTTAATTCCAAAATATTTACATTCAAACACCAAGGATTAGTCTAAATAAATATACAAAATTCCTTATACATATATACGTGTGTGTATATATATATATATATTAATGATTAGGTTGAAATAAGGGGGAAAGGTGAAATACTATATCTTGGTAATAACAAGGAAATGAATTATGGTAATAAAATATAGTCTAGCTTTTACTAATCTTATTATTGTTAATGCGTGCTTGTTATATTTTATAACCACCATTTGATACGTGCATGGCCTATATAAGGAGCCCTAGAGACTCTCTCTCTCAGCAAACCAGAGAGAGAGAGGGAGAGAGAGAGAGAGAGAGATGGGAAAAGTGGAGATTGTGGTAAGTTCACTTCCCATGAGCGGAGGAGATGGCCCCTACAGCTACGCCAAGAACTCCGAACTGCAGGTCTAATTAATATTATTATTATTTAACGTTTTTCGTTTATATTTTCATATATTCTTATGCTATTTCCATTATTATTAGCATGCATGGCTTCACCAAGCAATTATTTGAATTATGTTACATAATTTTCAGTAGGTATATATTGTATAATATATATTAATCGAATGATGTATGTATATTCCATTGTTTTACCATATTTCAGAGGGAATTAATATGTAACTCATTTGAATCATATATATATATATATATATCATGAGAAAGAGATTTTAATTATAATGATATTAAGTTAATTAAAATACTAATTAAAAGGAGCTATTTTTACATTTTCTCTCTTTTTCGTTTTTTTTTTCAGAATTAATTTATTGACATGGATAAATCTCCAAAATTGTTGTTTCAATCCATGATATCTGAAAAACGAATATGATTTAAAGCCATTGGGCAAGACAACATATTGAGTTTGTTAATATAACATTTAAGCCATGGTATTTTGTACAATTGAACCAACTATAATTTCTATCAATTTCTACCCCCATAAATTGCATTTTATAGTTAATTTGGTGGCAAATGGCAACTTTGCATGTCATTTCTTGAATAATAGGAGAGTGCGATTTGATACAAGAGCATGATCAGCACTTGAATTATACGAATAATGGACGTTATTAATTAGCAACACAAAATTGGCTGCCTGATTCGGCCAATCGTGATTAAGGAAGTGACTCACTCCACCGAAGAAAGATAATTTATCTTATTGCAATCATCGTCATCATCATCATCTCTCTCTCCATTACGTCAAAGATTCTTTGTTTGGTAAAAAAAAAAAAGGGATAATCCCATATTCCCCCACAAATTTTCGAAAAAGTTCCAATTTCCTACACCAAATTTTAATTTGACAAAAAACTATACCGAATTTCAAATTTTTCCAAATTCCCCCACAAAATCTTAAAATGTGTTGCGATTTCCCCATATCCGTAAACGACGTTAAGTTCCGTCAATTTTAATGTTGACGTGGCATGCCACGTCATACAGATTTCGCCAAATCAGCATATTTCGCCACATCATCCAGCCACGTCAGAAAATAAATAAAAAATAAAATAAAAATAAAAAATTTCTAGATTTTTTTTTAAAAACTAATAAAATAAAATAAAAATACAGAATTTCAAATTTTATTTTTTTAAAATAAAATATAAAATTATATATACATATATATACACTTTTATATCTATAAACAATTATATACAAATACATATATACACATATACATCTACATACATAATTATATACATATATATATATACACACTTATACATTTATATATATACACACTTTTACATATATACACAATTTTTTAAATTTTTTAAAAAAAAATTACAGAATTTTAAAATTTATTTTTTAAAAATAAAATTAAAAAATTACATATACATATATACACAAATAATATATATATATATATTATTTACTTTTTCAATCATTATTATATTATAGACATAAATCATATATATTTATGGATTTGCCAATATAAGATCCACATAAAAACAAGAAATAAATAGTTTCCTTTTAAATACAAATAAAAACCTCAATTGTAAGTTTTGGTTATTTCAGATGTAAATGAGTGGTATGTATATCTGTTGAAAAAATAATTATTATGTATTTATTATTCAGATTATTTTTCTTTAAATTTTAAGCCAAATGAAATGTTTGAAAGAATCCCAAAAAAAAATAAAAGCTTTGGCTAAAACATTTCACCTGTATAAATTTACTATATTATATTTTTTTTATTAAAATTTACTATATTATATTGGGAGTAGAATATGATATCTGCACAAATACAACAATTTCCATTATATAAAATTTAAATATACGCTAAACTAGTTCCATGTCGGTTGGCGGTTCTTATAAATATAGAGTTCGAATCCTACATATATCTTATGGTTTTCAGTTTTCGAACATTTATATATATACATGTGATGTGAGCCTTCCGGTTAATTTCAAATTCAGAAGATTAAGTCATAATTTAATTACCCTGATAAAAAAATATATTATATAGGGTATTTAATTTTTTTTTTTTTTTTTTTTTTTTCAGAGCTTGTTAAAGGACATAATAGACAAACTGATGATAGAGAAACTCGATGTCAAAACCCTGATTTCTCGATCGACGAACAACACAATCTGTATAGCAGATTTGGGTTGTGCGACAGGACCGAACACATTCTTCCACATTGAAAACATCATCAAAGCCATCAAATCGAACTTAGAATCATCAAAATCCACGAAGAAGAACCCACTGCCCGAATTCCTAGTCTTCTTCAACGATCTCCCGTCAAACGACTTCAACACTCTCTTCGCCACCCTCCCGCAAGACCGGAACTACTTCGCCGTCGGAGTTCCGGGATCGTTCTACGACAGGATCCTGTCGGAATCTTCTGTCCACGTGGCAATCTCTCTGGCCGCCACGCACTGGTTGTCGCGTGTGCCTGAGGAGTTACTGGACAAGAGCTCCAAGGCGTGGAACAAAGGGAGGGTACATTACTCGAGTGCGCCGGAGGAAGTTGTGAAAGCGTACGAGGATCAGTTCGCTCGGGACATGGAGAAGTTCCTCGGAGCTAGGGCTAAGGAGACAGTTCCCGGCGGTTTGGTTATTGTCGGACTGTGCGGCATTTTCGAATCTACCCGCTGGTATTATGTATGAATTCATGGCAGATGTTCTCCACGACATGCAATCCGAGGTAATTTCACGACTCTTTTATAAGAAAAAAAAAATCGAACTTGAACCAGAAAAAAAAAAAGAACAATACACAACAGGATCTAGAGGATATCGATCGGATGCTTGTTCATCTTCCAAAGATTATGCGACTAGATGAAAAAAAATAATGATGTTTTTTTTTTAATGTTAAAAAAAGTCTATTTAGAACTTTTTAATAAACTCTCTAATCGATGGGGTTTAATATTTCTGTTAAAATGGTCATGAGAATTATTACTTTTTTTTCCTCGGTTACTAATCATATCTAGCGATGTCAATTTAGGCTCCGAAGTTCGACTTGAGTCCACCCGAAAAATAGCGGGTTTCGGGCTTAAAAATATAGACCTAAAAAATTTCGGGGTTTGAGTTAGAAGTGTTTGTAAGTAGGTCAGATGCCATGCTTGACTAGTTTAAGCATTGGTATATTCTTTTTTGAAACCCTATTTATCGAGTCAAACCCACTGACATATCCAATAAATTATAATTCCAAAATTTATCATTCATGAAGGGATAAATAATTAAATAATTAAATAGATACGTGTGTGTATATGTATAGCAGAACCAAACCTTTAAAAAAAAGATGCTAAAAAAGAGTTAATCACTAAGCAAAGAAAATGAACAGCGAGGAAAACTTGTTGTAGGGTCGATTTCTTCAGCTCATAAACTTTGGTTTGTCAACGGAAAATTAAAAGCTCATTAATACCCTATTAAATGTCTTTTTTTTTCTTTTTTTTTAATGGAAAAAAGTTGTCAATCTTTTGATACTAACCTTTGATACTATCTTCATCATCGTATAAACATCTCTTCCTCCAACTCAGGAAGAGCCGAAATCTTTGATATAAAAACCGAATGGTTAAATTTTTTTATAACCAAAAGATAACGGAATCTAAACCCGAAATGGTCGCCCCTACTACCTTGGGTGGGTCCTATTGCATGTTTCCTAATTTACATTCGTGTAATTCGAGACCTAATCTCGTTTCTTCTCCATGTATTACTGATCTAAAATGTAGGGTTTGGTTACCGAAGAACAAATCGACACATTCAATATACCGATTTACGCTGCATCGCCGGAGGAAATCACGTGTTTGGTGGAGAAGAACGGGTGTTTCACGGTTGAAATAATGGAGCTGATGGATCCGTCAGCGTGGCTAAAACGCAAGATGAATCCTAACGATGTGAGGGAATGGAACGCCTGCATAAGAGCTACGATGGGATCTCTCTTTATTGCCCAATTCGGCGAAGAACTCGTCGAGGATATATTCGACCGTCTCACCAGTAAACTCGTGCATGTCACGGACAAGCTCGACAACAGCTACCGAGAGAAGACCATGTTGTTCTTCGCTTTGAAACGAATATAATAAAGTTTGAGTGTGTGTGTATATAAATATATATAGATATATATATAATATGTGTGTGTGTGTATTGGTTGGTTTCAACTCATTTGTTAAATGCGTGATTGTTTCGTTGGTTTGTGTTTTGTGTGTTGTTTTTCGTTGTGTAATAAAATTTGGTTTCTTCTTGTCCGAGGAACGTGCAATTTCTCCAAAATAACAAGAATCCAATTCAATAATAAAAGCTACACATACATGTACACAAACCCACACATATGTATGTATGTATGTATGTATGTATGTATGTATGTATGTATGTATGTATGTATGTATGTATGTATGTATGTATGTATGTATGTATGTATGTATGTATGTATGTATGTATGTATGTATGTATGTATGTATGTATGTATGTATGTATGTATGTATGTATGTATGTATGTATGTATGTATGTATGTATGTATGTATGTATGTATGTATGTATGTATGTATGTATGTATGTATGTATGTATGTATGTATGTATGTATGTATGTATGTATGTATGTATGTATGTATGTATGTATGTATGTATGTATGTATGTATGTATGTATGTATGTATGTATGTATGTATGTATGTATGTATGTATGTATGTATGTATGTATGTATGTATGTATGGGATTATACAAAAGAAAGATATCGAAGCTATATGAAGAAGAAAGTATTAACGGTATAATCAAAATTTGCATTGAGCTATAATAGTGTTTCGTTACTTAAAATTGAGTATATACATTAATTGAGTCGATTCTAATTAAATCATTTTAAAATCTTCAATATTTACGGTCACTTGATTTATTAATTAATAAACTTAATTAAGGTTACGATAAAATGAAAACGTCACTAACAACTACATATTTTGTGCCTTTAAAATTAAACATTTTTTTAATCATATAAAAAAACTGCTAGAAATTAAACCATTTATGATAAATTGTAGTTACCAACTTTGTTTGGTGAATAATATTCTCTGCATTATGTCATTTGGATTCATCTAATCAACATAAATAACTTTACTATTAAATTGTAAAAATAGTGTCGGTTGCATTATAATTACTTAATTTATAAACTGCAAACATAAAACTAATGACAAAATAAATTTACATTCAAACAACATCGATTGTAAAGCCAACACCAATACGGGTGTTACCCGACATAACAAGAGATCAATAGCGGATCTAGACAAAATTATAAATGGGGGCAAATTTAATTTTGCTATATGACAAACATAATTTTATCACATTTAACAATTTTGTTTAAAATCATATAAATTTTATAAAAACATATTTTTTGAATCAAACAAATGAGGGCATATTCATATCAAATCGGGTCTTCCAAAAATCATCATGCGTGAATACGTTCATGTCCGTACATGCAATCACAAATACATAAAAAGAAAAAAAAATATAAAGATATAGTTTACTATTCAATATATATTTATGCATGTATTTGGTAGCGAAGTTGATGGACCAATTAAAATAGGTGGTCAGTTGTTTTTGTCGACGCATTAATTTCTCCGAAAACAAACAAAAATATTACACGATTTAAAATAAAACAATTTTCAATTATAGATAATTGACAATTATATACCATTACCAGCATTTTTTTTTGAAGTTTCAATAAATTATTTTATAGTAGAGATTTTTATTTTCTTTCTAAAATTTTGTTTATATTTATATTAGATCCAATTTTTTTATTTAATTAAATTAGGTTTAAAAAAGTGTACTTGAGTCGATTCGGTTTAATTTAGTTAGGAATATATGTTATTCCATTTAATACGGTTTTACATACGAAAACCAAAATAATAATATGTAATAAGCAGTATTATCAAAATATATTAAATAAATAAAAAGTGAGAGAAAAAAAATACATTGAGATGACGAGGGATCTTGGCTCTTGGACGAAATACATGGGCACGATGTGGACCGACGCAGCGATGAAATTTTTTTATCTAAAAAAACGATTTAATAATCTTATTATATAAAGAAAAAGTTAGGAACTAATAAAATCATAAAAGTGCCAATTAGATTAAGGTCAAAACGTTTACATGTCTCTCTTTTTCCCGTTTTAAAAGTTACTTTTCCTAAATATTAAAAAGACTAAACTATATACGCACTAAATTGTTTTTTAAATCATTTCATTAATTTGAAATCAAATGGTAAAATAATCAAATTTGGCTCATTCAACCTATGAAATGAATGTATAAAACGTGTATTCTGTTCCAAATTCGAATTTCAAATTAAGAGAGAAAATGTATATTGTTAATCACATAACTTTCTCCTTATCTGCTACCTTCGATCCCAAGATTAGTTTAGACTTTGGTCCCCAAAATCCAAAACACTCGGTTATAAAAAAAAATATCTTAAAATAAATATTTAATAAATTCAAAAAGTATAAGGGTATTTTATTGACTTATAATGAAGAGTTATATAATAGAATATTCTAAACTAAATGTAATTAAAAATATTAGTTACAATAATACCGTTAGTGGAATAATCAAGATGACGACATTGGGGAAGAAAGAAATATGTTATCGAGACAATAACCCAATCTCCCACTGTTCATAAACAAATCATTTTCTATCAGAATAATAACGATTGTTCCTAGTTAATGAGGTGACTTTATTTCTCTAATCATTTTCAACTAATTAATTAAAAGCCATAATCTTTTTGTATCTAGACTAAGTTATATTACTATTACTATTATTATTATTATTAAAATAATAGTAATAATAATAATAATAATAATAATAATAATAATAATGATGATGATGATGATGTCAAATCCTAGCAATCAATCTAAAGTATCTTGAATATGCATTTTGTCAAACATATAATGTATTAACTTTGCTTAATGAAACATGTTACAATAGGAGAGTTATTTATACAAGTATTAACCCTAATTATGTGTATTGAAAGTACAATAATATCCTTCTATACGCCCCCTCAAGATGGAGCACCGGAGGTGAGTCCAATCTTGACAAAACAATCATGAAACGGAATGCGCGGCAAGGGTTTGGTGAGAGCATCCGCAAGCTGATCCGAGGCAGAGACATGGGTTACACGAAGATCACCAGATTCAACAAGGCCGCGAACAAAGAAGTAGTCGAGAGCAATGTGCTTCATGCGAGAGTGAAAGACGGGATTAGCACTCAGATACGTCGCACCAATATTGTCACAATAGATAGTAGGTGTTTGAGGCGGAGAAAAACCGAGTTCCGTGAGAAGAGAGGCAATCCAACGAATCTCAGCAGCAGTGGTGGCGACAGAGCGGTACTCAGCCTCAGTGGATGACCGAGCGACGCCCTTCTGCTTCTTTGACGACCATGCAACCGGATGACGGCCAAGAAAAACAACAAATGCTCCGGTAGACTTAAAGTCTAAACGATCACCGGCCCAATCAGCATCAGAGTAAGCATGCAAAGTAAGAGGGTTTGTAATCGAGAGGAAGATACCACAATTCCGCGTGCCAGCAAGATAGCGAAGGACACGTTTGACGGCCTGCCAATGTTCATCAGTAGGAGCATGCATGAACTGCGATAACTTGTTAACAGCAAAGCTAACATCCGGTCGAGTGAGAGAGAGATACTGAAGACTGCCCACCAAGGCACGATACTCAGTGACATTGGCAATCAAAGTGCCAGACACGGCAGTAAGGCGAGACGTCGAGGCCATAGGCGTAGATACGGGCTTGACATCCGTCATCTGAGCACGATGAAGAAGATCATTAATATACTTCCGCTGAGTAAGAAGTAACCCTGCAGGTGAGCGGGAAGCCTCGATGCCGAGAAAGTAAGAGAGATCACCAAGGTCCTTGATAGAAAACCGAGCACCAAGAGCCGATATGACAGCCTGGATTTCAGTTGAGCAACTGCCTGTAACCACAATATCGTCAACATAGACAAGAACATAGAGCTGAGATGACGAGGTAGTGAGAAGAAACAAAGACGTATCAGCCACAGAGTTCTGAAAGCCACGGGCAAGAAGGAAGGACCGAAGTTTTGAATACCAAGCACGGGGAGCTTGTTTGAGACCGTAAAGAGCCTTGTTAAGCCTGCAAACAAACTTGGGATGTGCAGGATCCACAAAACCAGGCGGCTGAGTCATGTAGACCTCGTCAGACAAATGACCCTGAAGGAATGCATTATTCACGTCAAGTTGACGCAACGACCAACCACGGGAGATAGCAATGCTCAAGACAACACGGATAGTAGTGGGCTTGACCACCGGACTGAATGTCTCATGAAAATCAATGCCAGGACGTTGGTGAAACCCCTTGGCAACCAGACGTGCCTTAAATCGATCTATCGAACCATCGGGTTTTCGTTTAATGCGAAAGACCCATCTGCAACCAACTATATTCAGAGCCTCGGAGTCGGGAACAAGAGACCACGTACCGTTACGAAGGAGAGCATCGTATTCATCACTCATGGCGGCTCTCCAACGAGGATCCTTGAGAGCCTGAGAGATATTGGCCGGTTCAACAGAATCAGGAGGAGAGGCAGCCATAAGCGCATACTTCGGATTCGGTTTATGAATGGCACACTTCGATCTAGTCTGCATAGGATGGCGGTTGCGTGGAGCAGAAGAAACCAATGGTGCAGCAGCAACCGACGGCTCCGGAGGAGGAGAGGGAGCTCGGACAACTGTCGGCAATGGAGATGAAGGATCCGAGGTCGAGGGCTGAACAGGAGCAGGCGAGACAAGTGGCCGTCGGGTAGGAATAACTGTGTGAGAGGGTAAGCTCACGTCCGGAATGGACTCGGGAGCCGAAGAGCGGCTAGATGGAAAGAATGTCGTAGGTGCCGAGAAAGGAAAGACTTGTTCATGGAATTGAACGTGTCTAGAGACATAAAGACGAGACTTAATAGGATCAAGACACAAATAGGCACTTTGTGTAGGCGAGTAACCGAGGAACACACATGCACTAGAACGAGGTTCAAGTTTATGTGAGGTATACGGTCGAAGCCACGGATAGCAAAGACAACCGAAGACACGAAGTTTAGAGTAGTTTGGCTCAGACTCAAAGAGACACTTAAACGGAGAAACCATACCAAGAATTTGAGTGGGCATGCGATTAATGAGGTAAACCGCAGTGGTGAACGCAAAAGACCAATAGGACACGGGAAGAGATGCGTGCATGAGAAGCGATAGAC